TCTTCTAAAGAAATAAACATATACACGCTCGTCGAAACGAGCTAACATTGGTGCCGTGACCCAATCTTCTTCTATTTGATTTCATCGAAGAAGAATTAATTACTGGGCAAATTTTTTTAAAAAAAACTCATCCATAACAGGAAACGAGTGATATTGATCTCATCTTTTTTTGGAAAGAGAGAATTCAATATAATTATTGATACTAATTAATTATATATTTCATCACTAGAAGGTATCGTATTTTTCATATATACATATTTCTTTTCTTTCTTTTCATCCTTTTGTAAACAAATACACAAACACGTCGGCCAATACACGAAGTACAACAAAAGAAAGTCGTGCATCTCTTTATCCATATCAAATAATAACATTTCCACAGCCACGCAAACGAAAGAAAAAAACATCTAATACATCGCCTATACAAAACATGTCGCCGACGACGAAAGATAATAACTCTGAAGAAGAGACACCAACAAATAATAACACGACGAATGATACCTCGATAGAAATTACTTCGATGGATCTTCGCCAGCTACATTCAAGTCAAAAAGAAGCTATGAAGAAAATTATGGAATTTTCTGGAGAATCTAATGAACTTGATATTGATGAATGGTTAACTGATTTAACCAATTTATTTGGATTAATGAAATTAAAAGATGAAACAAAAATTCTCGAAACTATGGGTAAATTAACAGGATCAGCTTTACGATGGTATCAAGAAAATTTAGGATCATTTACTAAATGGGAAGATGCTGAAAAAGCATTAAGAGATCGATTTAAAGAATTTACATCATATAGTCAATTGATGCAAGATTTTATTCAGATCCAGCAAGAAGAAAATCAATCAGTAACATCTTTTTATGAACATGTTATGCGAAAATATAAGAAAGCTAAACAATATATTACTGAACAACAAGTAATTACAGTATTACAAACTGGTGTCAAAAATTCAATGAAAGAATATTTAATTCGAAATGAAAAGAATATTAATGATCCTGAAGAATGGTTACAATATGCACGAGAAGAAGAACATATACAGAAACGAATTCAACAACAGCGTAGTAATATGGGTTTGGAAACAACAACAACAACACAACCTTTCTTTGATCCAGTTATGTCCGTGAGAACATTTCAACCAACATCATCAAATAATCAATCATCAAACCGATATACATCAACAACAAAGTACCACCATAAACAATATAATCGTCCGGAAAATAATGGTACATATTCAACACAAAATAATAATCAAGATGTTAGAACAACACGGAAAAATGATTGGAATAATACAACATCCAAACCTAATCCATGTTTAATATGCAATCGAACTAATCATCCAACAATTAAATGTTATTACAAGAAAGAAAAAGGCTGTTACAAGTGCGGACAATCAGATCATCGAATATATGATTGTCCACAACAGCATTTTTTCGAGTAGGGGGGTCGGATGATGGCGACGATCCCCGTGGAGTTCAACAGTCATCTATTGAAACAACATATAATCCAATTTTCGTCAAACTTTTATGCAACAATACTCCACAAGAAGCACTTATAGATACTGGATCGGCCATCACATTAATACACAAATGCTTATTAAACAAAATTTCACATGACAAATTCATACCAAGAATAAAAAATCATTTATCAGCAAGCTGTTCAACAATAGATATTATTGGTGAAGTAACTCTATGTATAAATATTAATGGAATAATTACTCTAGTAGTTGCTGATGTAGCAACAAATCTAGTAACCAATTTAATACTTGGAAGTGACTGGATTCAATCAAATAATGTTTACATTCTGACTCCAGAAAAACGAATCATGATTCGACGGCAAGGTAGAGAAGTATCAACTCCTTTTATTGATCCACCACTTTTAAATTATCCTGTTACTCTTATCAATCATATTACTATTCTTCCTTTTTCAGAACAAGTGGTAGAAGCAAAACTTCGACAAGAAGAAATGATGAACGTATTATTTGAACCCAATCCTCGATTAAAAAAGAAGGCATTATTTACAGCATGTACACTCCTCAACATACAAGATGGAAAAGTACGCATGAGCATCATCAATGCAACCAACCGACAGCAGACACTGTCAGAAGGAACCAACATGGGTATGGTGACACAATTAGCAACATCAGTCAATTTTATTATTCCACAAGATCATTCAGTTCAACGCATTCCGAAAGGAAAAGCGTGTATGGAGCTCATCCCAGAAGGGAAAAGAGCGAATATAAACGATGGAATAAATTTCATTAGTGCTATTAACAGATCATACCAGCAAAATCAACATCAATGTCGAGAATGTCAACAATATTTTCAGACTGGCAATGAGTTATTCAAACATCTCAGGGATACATGTTATCCTGATGAAATACGGAAACAAATAGAAAACTTAGTTGCACATATCAAGGATAACACGCAACAAGAACAATTGAAACACATTCTTTGGAAATATGGAAAGTTATTTGATACCAGTCAACCATCAAAAATCGATATAGTATTGAAGAATGCTATTGATACTGGTACACATCGACCTGTTCACACTCCACCTTATCGAAAATCAACCAAAGACCAAGAAGTTTTAACGAATGAAACACAAAAATTATTAAAAAATGATCTCATTGAACACTCCACATCTCCTTGGTCTTCACCGGTTGTACTGGTGAAAAAGAAAGATGGAACAACAAGATTTTGTGTTGATTACCGTCGATTAAATCAAATAACAACAAAGGATGCTTTTCCATTGCCAAGAATTGATGATATCTATGATCAATTAACCAAAACCAAGTACTTCACGAAACTCGATTTCAAAGCAGGGTACTTTCAAGTACCATTAGACGAGGCAGATCGACCAAAAACTGCATTCTCCACTAGAGATGGTCATTATCAATTCAAGGTGTTACCACAAGGATTAACCAATGGACCACCAACCTTTCAACGAATTGTTAATCAAATATTAGGTCCAAATCGATGGAAACATATGCTGGCATACATTGATGATATTATTGTATATTCGAGAAATTTTAATGAACATTTAAAACATATTGAAGAAGTATGTTCTTTATTACAATCCGCAAATTTTAAATTAAACATAACAAAATGTGAAATCGCAAAAAATGAAATATTATTTCTTGGTCATCTCATTCAAGATGGAACTATTAAACCAGATCCAGAAAATACTCGTGGTCTAGCTGAAACCAGAGAACCAACATCAGCTGAAGAAGCATTTAGATTCGTCAAAGCAGCTGAATATTATCGAAAATTTATTCCAAAGTTTTCATTCATTGCTGCACCACTACACAAATTATCACCAACAACATTACAACAACAACAAAATACATTAACAAAACAACAAAAAAAAAATTTAAAACTTAAAGGGAAACAACAAAACCTTCCACAATTTCAATTAAAAATAAAGCGGCCCATATACTACCGCTACGACTACCGAAAAATTCGATCTCAATTGCTTGACGATAAAATATACACAAGCAAACAAATAACAATTGATCGAAAATATAGTGAAGTCGTTATTGGCTTTAAAACACAAGAACGATTTCAATATGCAACGAAAATAATGAGAATTAATTATTTTTCAAAAGAAAGTTACAATAATAGATGGTAATGAAAAATAAAATTAAATATATATATAAAATTAATGAAACAAAAAAAAAAAAAAACAAAAAAATTAACACAAAAAATTAACACAAAAATGAACACCAAAAATAAATATAAACAAAAGAAATTAATTATATATTTGGAAAATTTTTTATTGAACAAAATGAACAACCAACCAACAATGACCTAAACAACCAACCACAACAACTTGAACAATTGACCACAACAACAAACAAATTCTGAACATGCAACTTATTGACTTGCTGTTATATCAAAAATATTAAATGGCAACATACATGATTATATTTAATAGATTATGGTGAAGAAGTTGTTCAAATCTCATGTAAACCAATTCAATGTTTAACAAATATGAAAAAGTTTGATATTGAATTAAATAGTTTATTAAACAATGTGATCATTATTCATCAATAAATTGTATCACATAAAGATGAGAAGAAAGATTCTATTAAACAACATGATTAAAAATTGGTTATACAAATTAAATCAACTCGATTATCAAATGAACAACTTGGTTTAAGACTAATAGCTAACTTAAAACAATCATTACATCCTATTCGATGTCCATCATCATCATCATAAACAACAGCAACAACCGATGGTAATAATGATAATGGAAAAAGGAAACAATCCATACATAATCAACAACAATTAATCGAGGGAATGAATTCGAATAAATGTGAAACAATGCAAAATAATCATTAAATGCATTCCTTCATTTAGATATGGAATAATAATTAAATCGAATTCAAGGAATGTATCAGTTTGATCAATCAATTCATCAATGGATTTTATGTCTACATAGATCGTTAATATCCGACGATTTGAAAAATCCATTTACTAATGATATGTATATTCCACAACATGGTCAATTTATAATATAAAATATTCAGTCTGATTAAAATGTTACTACTTTCCGATATGGAGGAATATTAAAAACACCTCAAACATCATTACTAGATATTATTGGTGTACAAGAAGTTACATTGAATTTTCTTAATCTTCTATCGAATGAAATATGGTTATAAGAAAATAATGATTACATTATTATAATGGGAAATGTTATTGAACATAAGCGAAAACAATATTATAGACGATTAATGCTAACGAAAAATCTTCATGCTCAAGTATTTTCAACATGTCCACCTGATTTATCTGAAGATTCATCGAATACAAATAACATTAAATAAAAATATATTATTGCTCGACTTAGATTACATTTGTATGTGGACATACATCTTCATCCGGGAAGGGGAGAACTGTTAGGGGAGTTTGTCTCTCTTCTTTCTCTCTCTTCTTTATTCTAG